TATATATATATATATATATATATATATATATATATATATATATATATATATATATATATATTATTCTTCTAAGTATGTACTTATTAACAAATATATGACCAATTTGATACCAGATAATGTATTTATGTACTAACACACTTAGATACAATGTCTTTTTTATACTAAATAAATATATGAAACTGATGCCAGATACATTAGATATCTGATACCATGAAATTGTTATGCACAAATACATAAAACATATCTGTATATAGAAGATTGAGTAATTAAAACATATACTATACAGGGGCGGACCTAGGTTGCATCTATGGAGTTCACTCGAATCCTCTCAATCGAAAAATTAGTTATTATTCGTATCTATTAGTCATTTTATTTCAACATAATTTTATGTACAACTCTTTAAAAATGATGAATAATATATATAGAGTTAAATTAGATGTAATTGAATGAAGAAACTAAAAATCGTTAATATCCTTTTAATGATATATATTTAATAGAATTAATGGAATTTCTTTTCTATTTTTTCAATTCTAGTTTAGAGAGATGGAAACTAAACTTATTTGATTTATTTGTTATTTTTTTTCAACAAGTGATGATTAACCTAGTAAATTAAACTACATGAACTAAAAAATTGACAATGTCATTTATTTATCTTCTGAATATGCATTATAATATTAGTAAATCTATACTTACACACCTTTAGAAAATCTTGATAATTTTTCTAGTAATATGTGTTTGAATGGATACTAATTTAATAAATTTTAAAATGCAAAATAAAGTAAAACATCACAAGTATAAAAAGTACAAGAAATTTTAAGAATGTTCAATGGAGCAGGGTAAAACTAGGAAGCAATGCTTAATGTGATACGATAAGATAATACAAATTTAGTGGGTTAAGGTAAATCATTTTCTCCTCCGTCTCGCTTCCTTTTTCATCCTTTAACTTTTACGTATTTTAGGAATTAACTTATGTAATATAACTGATCAACTTTTTTTTTTAAATCAATGTAGCTTTATTCTTGATATATTTGATTAATTTGGTGTTATGAGATACCTTGTCCAAAAAGCATGTCGATGTTACTACGCTCACCGGACACTTACATTACCACATGAATTTCTTCTTTAAATTTCAAATCCACTAAGCTTAATTCTTGAATCCGAAATTACTAAAGATGACAAATCAAGAGAGGTGAGATACATTCATCTGAATTAGTTTATCGAGAATCAAACTTGGATACGATATGTAACTAAACAAGTCAAATTTGGATAAGATATGTAACTAAACAAACTATTTAGCACATATACTAGTGTGTCACTATGCAAGTTGCTCTAAAGCTTTCACGGGGTGTCATATTTGGTTGCTTTTAGTGGCGGATTCAGGATTTCTCTTCGGGAGGTTCGAAAAATAAAAATATAAACATATAAATAAGTCTTTTGAAATGGACTTTTTGATTTTTTTTGGGTTTAAAATTACACTTTTGGCACGTTTTTAAAATAAAAAATGCTTGAAAAATAGAACTGATTTTTTTAAACAAAAATAAACTGAAACTATAGAGGAAAATAAATAAATATTGTTGCAGTAATTCAAACTTGAGGCGTGCAACTTAATATTTAAGGGTCTTACCATTGAGTCATCTATTTTTGTTTGTTATTGAGAGGGTTCAAAATATATGCATATATAAAAGTACATAAAATTTACCTTATATATATTGTGTATTTTTTTATCGAGGGTGTTCACCCAATGTGGGTCCGCCCCCTGGTTGCCTCCATTTAACTTGTACTTTTACCTAATTTAGGTTAAAACTCATTCTTATTCTTCTCTCCTGTTCCTTCAATTTTATCCCTGTGCTCCTCTTATTATTCCTCTTGTTGAGTTGCCTTCACTTCCGTTATCTCAGGATTCTTCGAAAAAGCGCGGGCTGACTCGGAGACCTGGGACCCTGGCTTAGTAATGAATGAAGGGAAGCTGTTTTTTTTTTGTTCACTTATTTTTATTTTTTTGGCTTCACATCCATTCAATCCAACAAAAATAAGACAAAATGAGGAGGAGGACATATCCACACTCAATATCATAAAGACTATAAAGACTGATAATTTTATTTAACTGATACCATATCAGTATGTATAGTGTATTGGTATAATTAAGGTTTCTTATTAAAAAATTACTCATTAGTCAGTGATAGTATATAAGTGTATATATGTATAAATATTGTTGTGGTATTATTAAGGTTTCTTGTTCAGAAATTACGCATTAGTAAATAATACTATAAGAGTATGTATTTGCATATTGTTGTGATATCATTAAGGTTTCTTGTTTCGAAATTACTCATTAATCAATGATAGTATAAGAGTATATACATGAGTCCGGAGCCTAAAGGGTATAAAATATTAACAAAAATTCCAAAACGGTATATAAAATTTTATATTAACTAAAACGGCAAAATCGCTAGAACAACAGCGATTTACTCCACCGGAAAAAGCAAAATCGCTGCTACTGCAGCGATTTTGCAAAATGTAATTTTTTTTAAAAAAAAATAAATTCAAATCGCTACCTAGGTAGCGATTTTCAATTTTGTTTTAATTTTTTTTTGTTTGCAGCGATTTGCAATTTTTTTAAACAATTTTTTTTATAAAATATTGAATTTCTTTTTTAAAAAAATTACTTTTTTTAAAAAAA